AACTCTTACCAAAACATTAGTTCCCAAATCACAGTTGAAGAATATCAGGCAAAAAAGGATATGGTATATATTTAAAATGCACTTACATGTAATAAAATTTCCTTTTCATAGGTATACCAGAACGCCAGCTTTTTTTTTTTTAACCTGAGTATGTTAAGATTCAGAACATAGTCTAATCAGTAGAAAAATGTGGAGTTAGGATGCAAACATAGAATGTTCAATATATTAAATTTTTTTAGGAAAAAAAATAATAGGAGAAAGCCATATTTCTTAAACAATAAGCAATTCAAATGCAAAGACAGTCCATATCTTCCTCTAAAAGGTAATGAATATTTGTTCACTTATTAGCAGATTCCTATAATAAAATCTGTTCTCACATACCCACATAACTTGATAATTCTGAAATAACCTAGATTAATTTTATAAAAAAAAAAAACGGGAATATGACCCAACTAACTTCATAACAGCAGATAATATGCCCCATCTGCAAATCATCTTGCTGTATGTTATCTGTGTTTTATCATTTCTAGTACCTGTCTGTGCCTGATATGGTACTCTCAGACACATTAGCTGGATGGAATGTTTCACTTGACTTCAAAAACATCAATTGATATATATGCACCCCTAAACTATATTTAAACAAATAGTTCTTAGATCAAAGTTTTAGTTGTACCACACTCTTTTATATAATGCTGTTTGTAAATAGTGAAAAAGTGTGTAGCAATTGTCTCACAAGAGAATTATTTCAAACTTAGATATATAATCTAACAAAACTGAAAAGTATAGGAAATATTGAAAGGGTTAAAGCCAATGTATATTAAACCTTGTTAGAAGGAAAATTCATTTATACCAGTACCTATTATACTAATTGAAAGGAAATTATTTAAAACATCACTAATTTCTTCAATACAAGATATATAGCTATTTCATTAGGGGTCACCACCCAATAATTCCTAAAAGTCAAATAGAAACAGACATTAAAATCTCAATAATGACACCAAAATATATCATATATGTATTTAAAGTAATATACTTTAAGACCCTATAAAAGAAGGATTTGCTAAGTATGTTAATATATTTTAAATGTATGCTTTCCCCTTATTTAAAAAAAAAAAAACTCTGTTGCTTTCTGCTCCTAAAGAAAAAATATCCAACAGACAGCATAATATTCCTACTGAATGTCACCTCTTCAAGGTATTCAGTTAGTGAGTTCATTATAGAATAGAATCAGCTGAAGGTATAGATATAGATACTACTTTATTATTTAATATATTCTATATTTATCTTTATAGTATAATGTTGAGTGTTGTAGTTACACAATATACTATTGTAGGAGTTTGTATCATGTTCCATAATAATAAACTTATAAATATTTCTTCTTTTTAAAAAAAAAACATACAATCTAAGAGAACGTTCCGTTTCATTACTTCTAAAACATAAACTAAGAACAACAAGCAGGATAAATTATAAATAAAAAAATATATAGTTTTGCCACTGTAAGTAAAGGAACATGGTGGGAGAGCAGAGAAGAAAGGAGGTGTTGGTGGTACATGAGAAAAGTGACAGGGGATGTCAGTTTGCCTAAGGAATTAATGACCTATCACTTGTCTAGATCCTGGTTTCTTACTGCCTTTGGTCATAAACTAGATCTAATATATGTGGGGCATACTTGCTTGCTTTCAGAGTCTGAAGGATTTTTTTTTTTTTGGTTGTTTATTGTTGTTCTTGGTCTTGTTCTTGTTGTTTTAGAATAGGAATAGTCCCTCTTTATTTATGAGGCTTTCAAAAATGTAGGAGAAAAAAACTACATGTCACTTGGCCTATTATCCATGTGCTCACATGTGTGTATTCCGGAAGATATTCTCAAAGTATATAGATAATTCATTTCTGATCTGGTAGAGTTTTTAAAAATTCAGTCATAAGTTTTCCTCTACTAAAAGAAAATGAAATACTTCACTGGTTCAATAAAATGCAAACGCAACCAAATAAACTGTGTCCCCCACCTCCCACCAGACAGGTGCCCTCTTGCTTCCATAGAAAAGCTAACACTATCCCACTCAACTTGTGCAAGATTTAGGATGTTTGCTTGTTTGTTTTAAAATAAAGAGAATCTTCTAGTAAATATCAGGCATAACTGAGTGGCATAGGAGCAAGGGGAGGAAGGAGACTAGTGAAAGTACCTAATGCTGAGGGTTGAATTCCATGGTTACTGCACAGGGTGAAAGAGGCAAGGTCATGTTCATGGTTATAGAAATCTGGTTTCCACTAGAGAGTATAGGCTACAGCTGACCTGAGGCTGGGGTCTGGGAAGCTAAGTAGGAAGTCCAAGCACTTCTGGGTACAGAGACAACAAGGCACTGCTCCTAAGAATCCCAGGCTGAGCAAGAGTGATATAGGAAGAGCCTGCAGATCTTTCCAGGCTTGCCCCACAGTGAACACTAGCAGCCCCAAGCGGCTAGGCCTGAAGGGGGAAAACAGAAGCTGCAATCTGGGCACAGAAAACTCTCAGACCTCTAGCCTGGGAGTAGGAGGGAGCACACAGACATGTGAACAATCCAAACTAGAAGCCTAAAGCCCCTACCCAAGCCAAGATACAGTGTCAAGCCTGGGCTGGTCCTACAGCATAGAGGGGCACTTGCAGACCTCCCCCATGGAAGGGTTATGGAAAAGATGCATACTGCCAGATTTTACTCTGCATCTCCTTTTCTCATTCAGTCTGTAGCCTGCTTCTGGCATCCCATTTACCCCTCTAACCAGCAATCCCCCCATGCCCAGCTGAAAAATAAAGAGAGGAAACAGGAGGAGATGGGGGAGAAAAAGAGGAGAGAAATCAAAGACATGACTACACTGTCACAGTCTTCCCTCGTGCCAGGGCCTTCCAGGGCTGTCCTGCTAGGTTTGGTCTTTCCTCGGGAATCCTGTAGCCGGGAACAGATTTGAGTGGACCAGTTCCGCCAAGCCCGTGCCTATGGGCCTCAGGGATGAGGTGCTGAGTGGGCAAGCTAATTATACTTGTGGCATTTGGGCAGCCGACCGTCCAGTGACACCTTACCTTATGAGGAAACGTCAACCCCAGCAACTGTTCAAAACAAAATGCCATCGCGGGATCAGCTTCGCCGGCTCTTGGCCGGTCCAGGATTGCTTTTCCCACAGCCTCTCGCGCTTAGCGCAAAAATGTGGCCTGGGGAGGCCAGCTGTGGGCGGGCGGACTGGCCCGGAGTGGGGGGGACAGGCGGGGCGGTCCTTGCCAGGTGTCCGTCCTGTCCCCCCTCTCCATGGACCAGCTTGCGGACCCGACCACTTGACTTTTTTATTCACCAAACCCACCTCCTAGAAATAGACTGGGCGGGGCTGTATCTGATCTCCTTGGGACCGGAGAAAAACCTGGGCATGTGACTATAAAGGGCAGAAGCCTGGAGACCCTGGGGAGGCGGGGGAGAAGGGCACGCTCACATCCCGACTCCACTGGGCTGTTGTCTGGGCCACCCCGCCAGGGCCAAAAGCCTGGCCGCCGAGTGCGCGCTGGGGTCCAGCGCCCCGGACAGGGACGTCATCCGAGAGCCCCATTGACAGTGCAGCTGGAGGTCCCGAGCCCAGCCCAGTTCGCCGCAGCCCCGGCTTCGGGCCATCTCGAGACCTAAACTTCAAGCACGGCCCTCAGAGGAGGTCACACACACAGAAGCAGCCGGGGACAGCCCATCTCGCTAACAGCCCAGCCCCGCCAGCACAGTCGAAGACTTATTTTTAGTCCCCAAATAGGGGCAGCACTCGATATCTGGTAAATTCATACAAACAAACCTTTTCAAACTTGGTCAGCCTAAGAGAGCTTAAATAAAACTCAAAACACGAAGGCAACAACCACCTTTTATCTGCTCGGAACACACCAATTCTCTTTTTATCTGAAAGCTCCGCGGAGCGCCCGGGAAACGGAGCTAATCTAGACTCTGCAGCCGCGGGCCGCTCCTCCCGGAGCCACAGCACAAGCCCAGCAGCCTTAGCACAAGCCCCTTCCCTTCTCTGACGGGCCCTTTAAGGGAGAGGGAAGAAAGCAGCTCCCCCGGGAGCAACCAAGCTCGGGCTGGACCCCGGGCGGGTGGCAGCACCGCCCCCGGGCCTGGGCCGAGCCTCAGAGCCGCGGATCTCGGCCGGTCCGTGGAGAGGACTGCCTGCGGCAGGGCCTGGGCAGGGCGCCGAGGAGGACGGAGGGCGCCGGCAGGGCTCAGGGACCCGCGGTGGGAGAGCGCGGGGCGGGGAAGGTACGAGCCGGCGATCGTGAACCGGGCCCGGGGACTCCGAGGCCGAGCCCGCACCGCGCAGGACTGGGCTGCCCCTCACACACGCCCCCGTCGGCCCTGCACTGCTGCCCTAGAGTCCCTAGCAAAGAGGACCACAGATTAGCACTTGGGTTTCGGATTGTCTTGGAGTTCGGTTTGTTTATTCCTAAAAAGATCATAAAAAGTCACCTCCAAAAATGGGGGAGGGGGAGGAAGGGCGAGAGCGGAGGGAACTGGAGGCGACTCGCGCAGGGTCCCGAGAAAGTTGCCGCGGAGCGGAGGTGGGGTGAGGGTGGGAGAAGGGAGCGGCCAGGTTTTCTAGCGATCCGGGTTTTCTTTATGAACTCCTCGCGCTAAACTTCACCCCGTAGGAGAGCGCCGGGGAGATCCTCGACTCTCGCCCGCCCTCGGCCAGCGTCAACCCCACAAATAGCCAAAGTTTTCAAACGAAAATGGGGGTGGGGTGGGGGGGACGTTAAGAAACCCAGAGACCCAACTGGTCCTCCCGACCTCCCGCACCCCGACCGAGCCTGGCTAACACTGAAGCGCTCCGGAAAACTGCGCTGTCGCAGTCACACGGCGGATCAACACAACACTTTTCAAGAAAACAAAATATTCGCTGGGAAACTTACTTTGCATTTAGTCTCTATTCTTTGGGGGGATGCGGTTTAAGTCGGCTTGTAAAGGAAAGTTCGTTTTGTCCAGGTTGGATATTGCCTACTTATGGATCAGCCCTTGGGTGAGGGTTTATTTTAATTTATGGCTTATGCATTCTTTTAAGGTCGATTTACATGACCTCCGGCTACAACTAAGACAGCCGCGGAGGGCACTCCAGTCGTCAGTCGGCCAAACCCACAATTAAAACAGCCCTCCCCCTAGTCTTGGTGTGACTAGGACTTTCCCGGGGTAGGCTGGTCGCCTGCTTTTCTCTTTTATTCTCACTCTTTATCTTCTTTCTTCACTTCCCCTTTTTCCTTCCTCCCTTCCTCCCTCCCTCCCACCCTTCCTCCCTTCCTTCCTTCTTTATGTCTTTTTTTAATATCGTGAAATAAGATGTGATATCAGTTTGAAAGTTTCAGTATAACTTTCTCTAAACCCAAGCCTGCAGCGATAACGAGATAGAACAGCGCTCACAAAGCCCTCAGGATGCTGCCCTCTTGTGGGTGCAGGGGGCATTACCACCCAGCGGTCCCATCTGAACCCTCAGAGCACACACGCATTTGCTTACACAGGAGAGAGAGAGAGAGAGAGAGAGAACTACACACGCAGGCACATAAGCTTCCTCTATCACACAGTTGCGCAAACTTCAATGAAATACCTACCTCAAACTTCACGGAGACTTACAAATTCATTCTCTAAGCCACCTGACTTCTTTTTCATATCACTCCCAGTTACACAGATTAGAATATCTACACGGGGAGGCGGAGGAGGAGGAATAAGGTGGGCCGAGAGGGCGGACAGATTTCCGGACGAATACTTAGGATGGCGATAACAGCTTTCTGTTGTCAAAGGTTGCGTTGTCTGTCTCTCTCTCCCCTGCCCTTTTTGCCTTAGTGTCCTACGCACAGTTATCTACAGCTACAACATGTGTTTTCTCGGAGTGGATTTTGGGGGTGGGGGGTGGCAAGAAAACCAGAAGCCCGCCACGCAGATCTGTCACCGCCTCCGGAACAAGGCACAACTCTCCGAGAGGGGGACGCATCCTGGGGATCCGCGCGTCCACCAGCGAGCGGCAGACGCTCGGGCCCCTTTCTCAGCCTCTACTCCCCCCTCTGCGTCGGCCCCGCGGAGCGCCCTCCTCCCGCTCCTCCTCCCCTCTCCCCTCCCCAGCCAAGTACGGAAACCCGCCCGGGCTGGGCAGCCGCCTCTCCCGCAACCCGCGCCCTCGCAAGGCGCCGCGCGCTCAGCTCGAGTCCCTCCGCCTGCCTTACCCCAGCCCCTCAGTCCCAGCTCAGGGAAACTAACCCCGAAGCGGCCCGGAAGGGCAGAAGCGGAAGGCACCGGGGGCCGGCGGTACGACCCGGGGTGTCTGCCCCCTGCCCCCTCCGACTCCCCAACAGGTAGCTCACAAACGGGCCGCGCGCTCACGCTCTGCCTCCCTCGTTCTCTAGATCGCTCGCTCCGTCCCGGTTACCTGGGCGGGCTCCAGGATGGTACCGCACGGGAGGGCTCCTTGTGCGCTGCGCCGCGGGAGTAAACGGCATTAAAGAAAAAGGGAAAGATACAAATAAAAAAAAAAAAAATTAAGGAAGGGGAGTCGATGCTAGGTCAATTAGCATAGCCCGGGGAGCAAGGGAGCAGAACCCCCCAGCGCTGCGGCCGGCACAACCCGTTAACTCAAGTCTGCGGGGGTGTCCCGCCCCGGGCGGGGGGAGCGCTGACCCGCAGAAGTTTGCCGCCGGGGTGCCAGGAGGTGCGCGCAGAGCGGGGTGACTAGGGGCTTCCCCCTTGAAACAAGTGAAGGCGATGGTTAGTGCTGTCAATCTTGGCAATCAGTGTGAGCGGCCATGTCGTAAGTATTCAAAGCATTTCCCGTCGTGCAACATCAGAAAGTGAGTGGCCAGGGCATTGATCTGAGCGAGGGAGAGGAGGCAGGGCTCCCCTCCCAGACAACACAGGCAAGATGAGACAAGAGGCGAGGGAGGCAGCGAGCCAGGCTGGGAAGCTGGGAGGGAGGGGGAGGGCCAGAGGAAGAAGAAGGAGGGAAGAGCGGGAGGCAAAGGCAAGAGAGAACCGGAGAGGGCAGAGATCGGCGTGAGCGGAGGTTGAAATTGGAGAAAGCGCCTGGGAAGAAAGAGTGAAGCAACTACTGGGAGAGAATTGGAAGGGGACAAAGAAGAGAGTTGGGGTCAGAGGAGAATAGAGACAAGTATTAGATGGGAGAGAGACTGGGTGAGGAGTAAGGGACCAAAGGGGGACTATTAGGGCTGGGGCTGCTGGGAGGAGGAGTCAAGAGGAAGGCAAACTGCAGTGGGGCAAAGGTAGACAACTGCAGAGAAAGAAAGCAAACTGGAGAAAAGGAAGAAGGGAAGTGGGAGAGGAAAATGTAGGGGTGCTAATTTGTGTTTTGAAAAAGTTATGTGACAGCGGAGGAATGGGCTGGATATTAATAAGTACTGAGATACACAAGTGGACCACAAAAGTGAGTCACAGAAGATAGAGAGAGAAAGGGAAGGACCAGGGCTGAAGCAGACCAGGAAGAGGGAAAGATGGGTGAATATTAGGATGAATAATAAGGATGAAAGAAAATGAAAAAGGAAGTGGTCAAAGAGAGATTTAAAAAGAGATGCAGGAACCAGAAATAATGAAAACACACCAGTTAATAGAATCTCAGTAAATGGGGGAAGAGAATTTTATTTTAAAAGAAGGAAGAGGAGGAATCAGAGGAAAAGAAGAAAAAGCAATTGACATAGGAGATCCTTAATATATGTAGGTGGCATGTTCTGGAGACCATGTGATTATGGAGTTTATGGGTTAAAATGGTTAGAAATAACAAGACACGTACAAACTAACAAAGAAAAATTATACCTTTACAGCAGTAAATAAAATAATTCCACATTTATTATCTGGATAAGTTTGTGTTGTGTGCAATTGTGTAAGTGATATTTATGTATAACCTCAACTTTGTAGAGGAAAAGATCTAGAGCTACACTTTCAAGAGGGTGGCTTGGAAGTTGTAGAAGAGGAAAAGAGTTTCTGTCACCCTGAACAGCATGTAAAAATGCATGTAAGATGTAGGAAATTATATAATAAAAGTCACCCCCCAAAAACCCACATAAATTAAAGATTCTCTTTGATGCCTGTGTAAGGTAGATAAAAGATTTGCAAGGGTACAGAATGGCCTAAAGGAGCAGAGACCTGGAAATTTATCTTAGTACACACAAGCTGAGGGAACGAGAGGGGAAGGAATAATCTTAGTGTCAGTTAGTAGAGATGCAGAGTAAAAGAGACAGATGAGAAAACCAGCTCTGACAGCAGTAGACACAGAACTCTCTGGAGGCAGAATGCACCAGGTGAGGTTGACCTGCCTTAACCCAGGCCCAAAAAAAGACTAGAGTTCAGAAACTGAAGTTAGTGGAGAGTTAAAATTACATCAAAATTAAAAGCTGGAAGAGAGGTTCTGACATACCTACATAACTACTGCAGACATCTGTGGAAGAAAAAAAATCCTTACTATATAGCAACTGATACGAGATGGCCACTTTGAGACACTTCATAAACAGGGACTTTGTGGAAGAAATATGCACCAGGAGAGATGGGACAGGATATGACTAAGTCAGAAAATTCAAGGCAATCTAAAGTTGCCAAGACTGTGAATAAGATTTCCCACCAATTAAGTGATTAAAATGATAAAGGGGAGAGAGCCTCACCTTCGTTACATTAACTTTTTAAAAAATGGAGAGAGTAACCAAACACAGAAAATGGAATGAGCTGAGATGTCAGTCATATATTGGCTTCTTAAAGTATATTTTATGTTTGGTTTCATATGAACTCAAGACAAGAGAGGAAAAAGAAACAAGGGTGAGGATGAGCTTCTTAGATCAGTGGGACAGAAGGAATAGCCAGATGCTTCTACCCCAATAGGAAATAAGATGTTTGAGAACTGGGAGTTTAGGGACTATGAGTTAAAAATGACTTGATGACTGTGGGCTGAAAAGACTACTAGTCTCCAACAAGAAATTTTGTGTTGCCATAGCCCACTGCGACTTTCAGGACTAGAAAGTCTACCTCCAGGAGCCAGAGCCCAGAGGCCATTAAAGAGAATGCCTAGCACCTTGCAGGCAGTTCCTCCCACCCTGGGGTTCCCAGAACTACTAGGCCTGCCCCTTGACCTCCAATGCCCAAGGGACAAACCTAGACCAGCGTCTCTAGCCTAGACATGGGCCAAATCTTTCCCAGGGTTTGTTTTTTTGTTTTGGTTTTGTAAAGGAGAGAAGCCAGGCCCAGCGCTGTGTTCCAGAGTCTCACACTACTTAGCCGCCTGCCCCAGAACTCAACCATAGGGGCCAGAAAGAAAGAAAGAAAGAAAGAAGAAAAATCTCCCCAAAGCCTGAAGAGGTCAAAACCGAATGACCTGTCCTAAATGTCTGCAGAGCTAGGGCAGAGAGATGAGGGGGTAGTTTCAGTCCCAAAGCCTGAATCCTCATGGAGGAGCCACCGAGGGAGGTAAAGCATCCGGGACGGAAGCGCTGGGATAAGCCTGGGTCCCTCGGAGTTCCTGCGACAAGTCTGGCTTTTCAAGCACCAGCGCATCTCTCTCTTTAAAATTACACAGCATTTGGGGATCTGGGGGGTTCGACTGACCCCGCCAATCAGATGCAGGCCACTGGCGGGGAGGTAGAAAGTGGGGAAAGGCGACATTATCAAGATCTCCGGAGTCCAAGGCCCTAACTGGGCCGCGGTGGACCTTCCGGTTAGGAGCGGCAGGAACTCTCTTTAGATTTTACCTAATAAACTGATAACTAAAGTATATTGATAAGGCGGAAACCCGAAGCTGGTCACAACATTGATCCCTAAAGCTAAAAAACTAAAGTTTGGGGTCTCCGTGCTGCCCTTCAGGCTATGCATGGGGTGACACGTGGCCCTGGGGGCGGGGGTGCACCCCAAGGGTTTCCTTTCAAGCCTCGAGCACGACTGTACAGCGCAGGGGGCGAGCGGAAAGCGCTCCAGCGGGTTGAAGTGCCGGGCTCTCCACCTGGTCCGCACTGGCCTGCGGGCTCCGACAAGTCCCATAGGCAGAGTAGGACACCCAAGCACCTTTCGACCAGATCTTGGCGCACTCGCACTCAGGCTCACTTGCCCTGGGGGTCGGAGCTCCGCAGCGCGAGAACCCTGGGCGCTGAGCTAGGGGAACAAGGGAGGGAAGTGGGGGAGAACGCGTGGGGGCTAACTTACCTGCCGCAGCTCTCGCTGCCTCGGTGCAGTCCCGGTGTCCCTGCGCACAGCAACCAGCTAAGGCAACACGGCTTTGCTAAGTTTGGCCTCGCACCTCCAGAGAAGAGGCGCGAACCCGCAAAGGCAAAGCGTGGGCAGTTCCTGGAGAAAGGTCCGCCTGAACTTGGGAAGGGCAACGCACTGAATTCTGCTAAAGAAGTTAATATTTAAAGCACCCACGCAAAAATCATAACGACTGTTAAAACCTCGAATTCTCGCTGTGGAAGTCTCCTTACACCAGCCGGGCGAACAATTCGGAGCTACATCTTAAGGTCGCTAACTTCTTTCAGGAAGGGCTTTACGGCTACTGTATAAATAGGACAAATATAAATGTCTTTACTTCCAAAACACGGGGAATGAGAACTTTACTGAAACGAAGAATAAGTGAAACAGTATAAAAACCCCAAAAGGAAGAGTTGAAAACTTTAATTAAAGCACGGAGAAAAGTTTTAGCAATTGGTTTTCTGAAACAGGGATAACACACATAACAGCACCTCGGTAGCCCCCTGCACTTCATTTAAGTTTGGTGTAACCAAATAACCCAAACTCCCAAATAACAGTGCCCTTGGGACTCTACCTCAAAGAGGTCGGAACTCGTGTTTCCACAACAAAAGCAGAAAACAAACTGTGAATAATGCTCTGTGTTCTTTAAGACATCATGTTATAAAAGGACAAGGCATTTTCCCTGGACTTTAAGTGGCTAGACAATAACATGAAATTTCATTTGAATCTGCGCGTCGTCCTGTTGGGAAGACCACAGCGGTGGCAACAGTAGCAACAGCACCGTCACAAAGGAGGTGGGGAAAAGTGGTAAGAATGCATGAACTTTTTTCAGAGAAAAATAAAGATAAATCAAAAATAAGTTTTACAGACATGGCTTTCCTGGCTTAGGAAAGTTAATTTTTAAATGTGCTTCTGCTGTCTAAGGTGCAAAGCCGAGCGAGGGGAGTGCGTGGCTGGAATCTGCATGCTGATAAGAGAAGGCTGATGTACTTACAGTGACAGAGGGCAGGCTGCGGGAGAAAAGCTGTTTGTGTTAGCCTGCGAGTTACCCAGGGCTGCAGTGAGAGCAGAAGGGAGGAGTGGGAGTGCCAGTCTGCGTACACCTTCACCGCGTCTCATTACATCTGCCAGCCTCTCTCTCCCTCTCTCTTTCATTTCCACATTCCCTTTGTTCCTGAAAAAAAAATCTACACGTCACATCAGAGTCCCCAGATGCAGTCTACACCAAAGAAAAAAAATGAATAATTCAATCAAACTGTGCATAGTCTCTAAGGCAATAAATCTATTGCACTTAAAGAAACGAAGGGTAATTACCACCGTGGAATTAGAATAAGGCCAAAGACCCGAGATGTCGTTGAGTCTCTGGGTAAACTCCCCGGTCAAATAAAGTTTCATTTATTTAATCATTTTGACATCTCAAATGGAAAGTCAAAGAAAGATTTTTAACTTATTTTAGAAAGATAGTCACTTCTTTTTAAACACATTTTAAAAGGAGGGGTGGGGGAGGGAGAAAAAGCCTAGGGCATACTACCCTACTCAAAAAGCTCCAGAGGCAGCAGCATAGACCAGGCACAGACACAAACCAAGACAATGTGTCCATGGAGCCTGTCCAGGGTCCATTCCTCCCCCCTCACACACACACACACACACACACACACACTCCACCCTCCTCCACTCCCCACTAATCAGAAGAGGATCGCCCTCCACTCTCACCCGCCACCGCAGCTCAGCACGAGGGCAGCTGGAATCTGGGAACCTTACCTGAAGCACCAAGACCTAAGAGAAATCGTGCTTCCCTGCCACCAACACCCCATGCCAGCCCCATGCACCCCTCCAAAGTCCGGTAACCATCTACTTCTTCCATCTGCCTAAAAGAAACTGTAAACGGGATTTTCCCCACACGATTGAATGGAAGCTCTGTACTGTACCGACTTCTGGATTTGCCCTGGGTTGAGTTTAGGGAATGTCTGGAAAGAAAAAAAAAAAAAAAAAAAAAGGAGGAAAAAAGGAGGGGGGCAGCTAAGCCTTGTCCAAGTTAGTCAGAAGGCTGTGTTAGGCAGGAAAGAGGCTACGGAAGAAACAGCTGGGATGCAGACTGGCTATGGATATCTCAGTTCTAGGAACCGTGTCCTTTCGTCCCGGAGGTAAGACTTTGTGACTGTCGCACGTTTATTCTTTCGCTGTCTGTGCCTCTCTTCCCCACCCCCAAGGACCCCTCCCACTCGGGTCACCGGGCATGCACCCGTGAGAAGAGCACAGCACGACGGTCTTTATTTTCCAGATCTCTCTGCTCATAAATTGTGGGTGTCACTGAAACGAAATTAGCAAATCTTCTACCGTTGGTTGCAGCGACCAAACCCTCTGTCCCTCTGCGGGTTGCGCGCTGATCGCGGCATCTTGGGCTGCAGAGCATTTCTGAAGCCCCAGCCCGCCGTTCAGCCTGGCCTGAACGCTCAGGTGATGCTGGGGAGACTCGCGGCGTCCCAAACGGGTCCCGCTAAGGGTTTCCACCAGATCACCACCCCTGGCCGCCTCTGAGCGAGGGGACGCACGCACACATCGACGCATAGAGAGATACACACACATTCTGACAATCTGGCCGAACTCCTCATCTAAACTCAAGTCCCTATAACCGTCAATTCAGCCCGCTTGAGAGCAGCGGGAAAACTAGGATGATACGTGGATGAACCGCGAGGGTGCCAACCTCCCGGTTTGGCTGAGCTCTGTTTATGTGCCTAAGTCGCCACCTTCAGGTCGAGCGGAAGACTGCGCCCGGCTCCCGGCTTGTCGACACAAACCCGGCTGACACTGGCCCTGCTGCCTTTAGCGACAGCGGGGACCGCTTGAAAGGGAAGCAAGGGGAGGGCCAACAAGCAGACCCGCTGAGCGAAAAGGCCTGCTCACCGAGACTTGGGGTAGGAAGAGTGAGGGCTGACACTGCACGCTAGCTAAAACCAATAGCCAACAGCCGAGGAAGGCGCACTCTCCCAGCAGAGTACAAAGCTCCCGGCCAAGGATTCTGCAGCTCCAAGGCAGGCGCTGCACCCCCGAAACTTCAAGCACTAACTCCCACGCCTGTGGCGAGGGGTACAGGCAACTTCGGAGAGCGAAATATCCGCTCCAGTCCTGGCCGAAGACCGAGCTCCCTTCTTGCAGTGACCTCGGCTCAACTTGGACTCCACACTCTCTGGGGCTCCGGCTTCTTCTGTATCCTCAGGGCAGAAGACAAAGAGTCTCCGGGAGCGGCCAGACCCAAGGTCACTAGCAGCGGGCCCCCAGACAAGAACTGCACACCTGAAAACGCTCAGGCAACCCAGCTGCCTGCTGCAAGAGCTGGATACTTAGATCTATAGTCGCCCATTTCTCAGAAAATCAGTCCTTCTGATTGTCTAACGATGGATTCGGTAAAACAATAATAATAATTATGTCAGAGTTTTTCAACTTTCCCACCCCTACCTCTACTGAAAATCTTTACACACTCTTTCCTGTACTCACACCTTACATTATAAGGATACCAGGCTTAGGAATTCCCTCCCTAATCCTGAAATAGCTTGTGGTTGTTCTTTGTTATGCCTGGACACTGCCAGGCATCAATCTGCAAACCCACTCTAAGTCCATCCTCTTTGGTGAACTGTGCCACAAGGGTGCGTCCGTCTTCCCTATCACCTGGGTACACAGACATTCTTTAAATGTAATACTTTATCAAAGGAGAGGAAGAATATTTTTATTTAACTCAAGAAAAAGGACACTCAGGAACTATCTTGTGTTACATGAGGCCATAAGTCACTGGGGGCCTTCACTATTTTGATCAGCATAGTAATAATAATAATAATAATAACTAATACATTAAATTTTAAAACAAGAACCACAGCAACCCAGTACTAGTAATGGACAAGAAATATCTTTTCGAAGAGAGAGGGGCAACAGGCCCCAAAGCCAAACCCCTATTCCCTGGTTTCACTCCACAACCTAGCAAATTAACATTAGATCCTCCTCCACTCATGTAGAAAGCCAAGTGTCTTTGAACACAGTACTGAATTTTCCCAGGGAATCCCAATTATAGAAACACCTGTGCTAAGTAATGCTATTCTAATCCACTATGAAAACCTTAAATATGTAATAGCCCTCAAATCATCTTATTTCTTAGTTGCATTGGGGTGGGCCAACCTCATGGAAGAATATTAAACTCATACAATGCCCCCAGAGCCTTATCTTACAGGGGCCTTGGTTTTATCATACATAATCCTGGCAGTTCATCTTCTCTTAAGTGAAAGGGATATACACATGAAGCTTATAATGTAACTGCCAGAAACTAAGCGTGGGTAGAAACCTCATTTAAAGAAAAATCAAATCAAAGACCAGTGACTATGAAACTGGAACACATGGCATGTAGGCAGCCAGGCACCAATTCCATGATCTTTAAATCAAAATCCTAGCAACATGGAAGTTGTCACTATTTGGCATATATTTTTCTTTACTATAAATAGAATATCAATGGCAAAAATAGAATTAAATAAAACCACCATAAGAAGAAATGTGGTAGAAACCAGAAAATATAAACCTCTACCAACTCCCCTTCAAACATACATATCAGAACTAATATTTTGAAATGCCAGACCTAATGTTTTTAAAATACTATCTGAAAGAAAATTATTTATTAAAGTACTGATTGTTTTATAGCTTAAGGCTGCCAAAACTGCCACTAGATGAAGAGTGAAGATCTAGATGAAAAGTGAACTGTTTATCCAAATGTTTGTCTTAAAATGAAACATTGAATTATTTTTCTAACTAGAAGTGATCTAAATAATTATATAGGTAAACATGATTATCACAAAAACCACAGAAAGGAAAAATATGATAGAGTTACAGGATGATTCAACCACAGAAATAACCTTTATTCACTAAAATTTGAAGTATTTGTCCCAATAGCATCCTTCTGAGATATCATGTTCTTTCCATTATTAAGTACTCTTGTTAAAGCATGTGCATTCCTTCATATGTGCTTCTCTTCCCAACACATACCCCTTCCCAAATCTGAGGTTTACAATCACGAAGATGACTACCCTTTCATTCAGTATACACTTAAGCCATACTAGAGACATTTGATAAATCCTACAGTTCCATTCCAGTGCCTAATAAAAGACAAGCAAGGGACACAAAAATAATGGTGTAAAACTGCTTACTGATAAATAACAAACAATAAAACAATAATTTTCTAATATTACTACTCTTTAAAGGTTTGATAATTTACTTCAACAATTATAGGCTTTCTGTATTATTATGTTAGCATTGTTTTTAAAAAAACTAAACTTAACTGAATTCTCTTAATTTTAAAATTTGTTACTTAAAAATCTTTCCCAAAATCCTAGATTGCTATTTTTAAATTTTCAAAATAGAGGATTTCTTTTGTGTGTGTGTTTTTAAATATCACAATTATGTTGAAGACTTTTGCTTGTTTTCCACATTTTTATTCACATTTAAATATTTGAGTGCCTAATATGTGCAAAGCAAATAATTAAAAGTGTGTTACTTAATCTTTTGCACTTTTATGATTTAATAAATACTAATTAAAGTTTCACATCTACAGAAATTTATTTAATATGCTGAAAATTAATTTTTACCAACTATGCCAGCAGAAGTATTATGTTCAGTATAAGTATATTTGATAATTGCATATGATGTTAATCCATTTTATTTGGTATATACTGTTTAAATTACCTTATATATTTTTACTAACCACCTACAGACATTTCTAAAAGTTCTTCTGACTTATCAAAATGTATATCTTAAAAAAAGCTTTATTTAAAAACAATCTATAGTTACAATTCAATTCCAAATAACATATTTTATGTATTTTACTTTCAAATCAGTTCTAAAAGAAACTTCAAACCCTATCTTCAAATCAGTCTTTAAGTGCAATGCAGAATTATTCTATAACTTGCTAGTTTTAGGTCTCTAATATGTATCACAATCATACATGTAAGATAAAGATATTATCTACCTAAAGTCAAACAAACAAATGAAAGCAAAAAAAATAAATAAATAAATCAGCGTTCCAAGTATCTGGATGTTTGCAATTATTTAAATAACTCATTCAATTTTATTGAATTTTTAAGTTCTCATCAGGATGTTTTGCATGAGGTTTGAATATTTTATCTTTTTAATGGGGGAGGAGGAGAGACAGAAACATTGAGAATCTGCAACAATGATCGTCCTCATGCTAATTCACGTCTGTTTAAGACAACAATAAGTGAAAAGCTTCAATTATTCACACTTAAAGTTCTTGAATAGTAGGTTTTTGGAGAAAATATTTAAACTCAAGAGCTCAATACAGAAGCCTCTTTTAATCGTATAGACTATGTTATCAACCTATTTTCCAAGTTGATGAAGTTTAGCACTAAACTGAATATTAAGCAAATAAGTGTTAACTATGTTCACTAGAATTAGCATATTTCAGATTATAGTTTATAAATTTTTAAGAGCATCAGCATCATGATATGGTTGCCATAGAAACTGCAACAATATGTCATTTCAATTAATTTTATATGCAGTGATAAGTCCTAGTTCTACATCACTTCAATACAAGTTTGAAAAGCAAAGACTGAAAAGCGATATAAATAGCGAATAGTGAGTTTCTAATTTATACAGTTTAGAAACTAATAAAGTACAAGCCTTTTAAAAAGAAAAATGCACAATGCATTCTAATTGCATGAAAGGACAGCAATTTAATAAAGATCATAAAATGCTTTAAAATAAATACATTCTGAAAAAAGTTTTCACTAACAACTGCTTTACTTCTCTTAGTATTCTTTATACTTTTGTTACTCAGATTCATATATTGGTAACAAAAATTATTGGTTATTACATATTACTTAATTATTAAATTATGGATGTTCTCTCTGTTCTCTAGAGATAG